TTCTTGGTTTTCATACCGCGGCCGCTATTCGCCCGCGGGAGTTATTAACCAAACAAAATGAAAAAGCCGTTTCAAAAAGAAAACAAAAGCAAAAAGAAAGAAAAACCCCTTTCTATCCGCGTCCGTACTTCGGGGCTTCCGCGGGATTTTTCCTCAGGGATACGGCAAGCCGCGCGGTACGGATCTGAGCTTATCACATCACAACGCCTGGAAGTGTAGACTGCTCAGTGTGCGCACTTCGAGGACGTTGAAGGGTACGTGGCGAAGGTTCGGCGTTGATGATGAACGTACGGGTCGCTGCCCTCACACCGCCGGACAACAAGCCGAACCTCAGATCGACCTGCCCGCCGTTGTTGTCTTGCAAGCCTTGCTGCAGGAGGGACGTGAACTCCCCACCTTCGTTGAGCCCGGACCTGCCAGCTGCCAGCGTCTGTGACCACATCTGCGTCGACCCGCTACCCCAAGGTAACGTTGTGAGTTCTTCCGTCTCCAGTTCCTCGTCCGACGGGGGCCTTGGCTGCTCGTGTGGTTCTAGATGGCTATACAACGATGGGTCGTAGCGCCGTCGAGGGACCGCCGTGCCAGATCCTCCTCTACCCTGACGTGCCGCCGGTTCTCTGCCTACGTGGAAGTTCGCCATTGGTCGTTCTACGGAAGCCCGTTTCGTGGACGCGTGCCGTTTGCGATGTTGCTTCGACGGGCAAAACGCCAAACACACGTGGAGGAAGACGACAAACAAGAAGACGACGATAGCGAGTAGCAGGCGAGGCAACTTCCGATACACGTCTGCCATGAATGTCGCCTTCGGATGCAGCGTTTCGGACAACCACTCCACAAGACGGCCTCCGACACGCCAACAGATTGGACCGCAGTACCTTCATATGCCGCTGTACGCACAAGACGACATAGGCGGACGCCAGTGGTTCAAATTTCGACCGTTGGGGCCCCTCCACTGCCCGCAGGTCGTCATTATGTCGTGCTGCGCGAGTCATCGCCCTCCTCCGCATTTCGCATCGAAGACAACGGTCGACTATGGACGACAGGGCGCCCCCGCCCGCCCTCCACGGTCCACCCCGCCCGCCAACGGCTACTGGTGGTGGCTGTTGCCTCCGTCGACTCACCGAAGGCCTCCGATGTCCGACTCCTGGCCCGACGGACGACTTCTGGACCACGGAGTCCGAGATGACGGTGCCATGCGCACGACGCCACGACTCCGTCAAACGCGGCTTCCTAAAAATTTCAGTAGGTCGGAGGCAAGTAAAAAATTTAGGAAAATTTGCCTGGGGAATCCTAAATTCTTTAGGACGAGTCCTAAGTTCCTAACGCCGTTTTCACATTTTCGATCTCGAAATCGGATTTAGGAATGCGTGCAACCACGATGCAATCCTGAAAACAGGCATTTTTAGGAGTGTCTAACGAGACTCTTAATACTTAATAAACTAAAAGTAGACAGATCTTCTGGATGAAAAAAACCTACTGAACAAAAGGTAGCCAATCCAGTACACAAGGTTGCTCTTAGACTAGGTCTACCCAACCTAGACGGTCTAAGCCGAACCTGCACAACTTTCTAAATGCCTACACCAAATCCTTTCATTTTATCTCTCAACTGCATTGGCACAAGGGAAAGCTTCCGTTCTGAGATTGCGCTGCGCTGCTGATTGAGTGGGTTCATGCGGAAAGAAAAAAAGGTTGGAAAGCGGGGAAATGCAAGACGGGGAGAGGTGGGCCGGTACAAAATAAGAGAGAGAATGCCGAGAAGACTCACCACAAAAATGCAAATGTTTTTTAGGAGGAGGGGAAGCCTGAAAAGCGGTAAGAGGTGGAGGCTGTTGGATGCTGAGAGGATAAATACGGATTGCAGAGCTGGCAAAATGCGATGGCATACACATCGTCCGCCTCATTCAAACCAATAATGGATACCCAAAATAAACACCAAAGCAAGTACAAGGTCCCTACACTGGAATGAAAAGCATTCAGTGCCTCAACCTCCCAACCTGAGGCTCCTGCTTTTGAATCAGCAAAGAGAGAGCAGAAGGATCTGAAAGGATAAGAATGGTATACCCACAACTACCTAAAGATTTTTTCTCATTGTCTGAGTGTTCTGCTAAAGCAGACGCCGCAAACCTTCCATCACAAGAATGCGGCACCCTCGTCTCGTGTTCTTATCTTACGGCAACCCTAGACAGCTCATTGAAAGATTATAAGCCCTCGCCACCAGTACATGCCTCACATTGGCCGCGGGCCCCTGTCAGAGGCTGAAACGCAACGCCGGCGGCCGCCGATTTATTTTATCGATGTTGCGCTGGTGCCGGCTTTTTCGGACCAGATCAGGCGATGAAACATTTTCAGCAAGGCCGGGGCCATGTACTGGCGGTTTCAATGCCTCATTCCTAAACGCTATTGAAGTCTTACACCACCATTAGTACATCTTAGGGCCAGATCCCACAGGCAAAGAGGATTGGAATAAGTGTCTGAATCTGGACGTGTTCCATGCAGAAATGCAGAAAAGTAGGTCAATCACAATTTTTTGCGCCTGTCCACAAACACGTCCGCATTCAGACACTTGTTCCAATCCTCTTTGCCAGTGGGATCTGGCCCTTAGAGTCGAAAAAGGAGTCATTCCAAAAAGTTCGGGGACTCGGGACAGGACCGACCTGGGGGCGAGTGGAATTTGTTTTTGTCCCACACCGCCCCAATCTCACCCCAAGGCGTGGGCCAATTTTGTTTTGTCCGCCCGCCTGCAGGTCGTCCTTGTCCCGAGTCCCCAAACTTTTTGAAACAACTCCTTTTCAATTCTCACGTTGCATGGGGTGATATAGTGGCAGTTTAAGGGTTCATGGCTGTGCCTTAACTGAACCTGGCAGTGCACAAATCCCTGGCAAGCCGTTATGCCATTCCATACTCGTGCCCGATGTAGTGCAGTGAACATAATCCTTCTTGTCTTAACCCATAGATATTCCATACTCATGCCCGATGTAGTGCAGTGAACATAATCCCTCTTGTCTTAGCCCATAGATTTGGCTCCTTCGATTGTTTGCAGGTTCCCATTTTGGGAAAGCATACTCGCAGGATTACGTGCGGCATATGGAATGCACAGGACCGTCTTCTGCTTGGATCAGACGACAAGCAGGTCACTGTCAACAGAGACAACGGGGATACCATTCGTCAGGTAATGGACAACACATGTCTAGCACCCACCTCTTTCCCATCTGTCTCTCTCTCTCATGCTTTCTCTATGCTCCTATCACTCTTCCTGTCCCCTTCTCTTTCCCTCCTTCCCCTCCCTCCCTCTACTTTTTCTATGTTCTTCCTTCTCTCTCTCTCTCTCTCTCTCTCTCTCTCTCTCTCTCTCTCTCTCTCTCTCTCTCTCTCTCTCTCTCTC